ATTGCTTGGCTACTTTGCAGGAATGCATTATACTGTAATGTCAGATGTTGTTACTTCACTCAGTTTCTGAATATTTCAGCGAGTAGCAACTATACTCATGTTGTGATTTGTAAAAGTGTCTTGTTTGATTATTGCTTGTATTTTTCTTACGGTTTGTTGCGGCATCATCTTTGACAGAGTATATGTTCTCAGTGGAAGGCTGGATTGTCTCAGACTCTCCATCAGGGTTAATTGGTGGCTGCATTCCAGATCCAGTGGCCTGGTCGAACTCTGTCATGGCTTCCTCCGTAGCCCCTGTGTCCTGTGAAGCCATTTCTGTGGGAGTAGTAATACTAGCATCTCCCCCAGAGGATGGTGTGAGGTCAAAATAGGCCTCAGTTTGTGCACTTGGAGTGCTGTCAGATTCTGCCATGCCTTCTGAAGATGAATAGAAAGAACAGAGAGTCATACTTGGTTGCATTCAAGAAAAACATCAGACATTTTATCAAAGTGGAAGAGTCTACCTTGATATCATTTTTTTAAAAGCCAAGTCATAGTTTTTCCTGCCTTTCTCTAGATAGTTTCAACATTAAGAATAACTAGAATAAGTTTTGGTTTTATTATGCTTCCTAAAATAAACAATAAATGCCATCTCTGACATCACTGTTGAGAGTATTTTGCTTTTTAAGTGCCCATGTAAGTACAAACAATTAACTTGCTGGTTCTATTTTCCTTATTATGCATTCAAAACTCTTTATTCTGTAAATACAATATTTCCTTGTCAAATAATGCACAGCCTGATCATCTATAATGAGGCTATGTAAAATGCTACTGCTCCTCATGAATGGCCTTGGATGTGCAGTTAATTATAAAAAAAAAAGAGAAGAAGAGAAACCCAGTGGTTGGGAAATGGATCTCTCATTATCAGTCAAGACTGTAGCCTCATCCGGCTGTCTTCTTATTCAGCCAGCCAGTTTTACTTTGCTTAGAGTTCTTCAAATAATGATGCAGAAGGTTGTGTGTATCCTGCAAGAAGTGCTTAAATTTGGAAATGAGTTTCCTGCCTATTCTATGACAGTCGCCAATTATCAATTATTATGTTTTTAAATTGTAAACTGTACATTCAAGACCAGAGTTCAACAGGTGTAGTGACAGAAGCACATTATACTTTGGTTATACAGTAGCTTTGGCTTTCAGTTAATAATAATATTTAAACTTATATGGTGACAAATAGATCCTAAAAGGGTGAACGGGTACATTGCACTGACCTGTTGCATTTGAAGGTGAGATGTTTTCAAATGCATATGACTTGTTACAGTTCTTATCAGGCCCAGCTGGCACATGGGGGAACAGGAAGCAGATGTTACCAAAGTGGAGAAACAAATAACAGATGCAAATTGTAAGTTTACACAACACTTGATTAATTTGAGTATCCATCTTGGACTGCACACATCAAGTGAACGTGCCCTGTGGCTGTAGTCACCTTGGTCATCGTAGCAGTAGGCATCATAGTAATCATCAGGCTTCACATATGGATTAATTTGGAACCCAGTCATGTTCACTGCACAGTTTTCATGGGGACTGTGTCTGAGGATGGAAGTCTTGTTATTGTTCATCCAGCCGTACCTGCATAGATACAACAGATATATTTTGACACAATCTCCAGACATTTGTTGATACAGGCTGCAATCTCCAGTCTCCAAGTAGTCAAGTCCAGCCACATTACATACTAAACACTGAAGTCTCACTGCTCAGAGAAGAAGAAACAAGCACTGCTGAGGAAAAGAGGGTAGTCTCCTCTAATGGAGGTTTTCACAGTTTCTAACACATGACAAATATGTGGCATCCATGCTGCAAAACCAGAAGACTTCCTTCCTCTTTTCTGGTTTTACATTTGAATTAAGTGCAGTGAATTTAAGGACCAGTATGTAATTAGAATGTTTGCGTTCAATATTCTTTTAGAGGGTGAAAGGTTAAGATGTGGCAAGACCATGAGAATTTGGTGTCTATAAATGTTCTATAAGAAATGCTCAGTTCAAATTTTTAGAAGTCTTACATCTTATTTAACAAGTATTAAACCATTTGAAAAAAGCCTTGTACACAAAAACTTAGACAAAGGCTCGTGGCTTCACCTGCAGGTTTCCATGCCTACATCATAGGCCTTCTGGACTTGTTCTTGACTTGCGATGCTGCTGTTTTGTTGAACACACACCTTTTGAGCCATTTCAAAGTTCAGGCTGTACCGCTGTTCTCCCTCTACCAGAAATACCCCAGCATAACTGCAGGAACGTGACTTCACTGCAGGGAAGAAGAGGAAAAATACACAACGGTTAAGTGTTTTATAGTATTCACTAATGTTTAGATACAACAGAGATGGGAATAGCCTGCATGTTAAAGAGTCCTCGTTTGAGTTGTTTTTTTTTACTGTAGCACTTGAAATGTTGAGTCCACAGCACAGCCAAAGAAAAACTTGGCTAAAAATTTAGATTTTGGAGGACTATGATTGTCAGTTGCAAACAAATCTAATAATTTAATGATGCTTTAATGTTTGCATTTAACATCAACCAGTAATTTTACTTTGCGAATGAATAATATGTTTACCTCAATAGATCAACAATCTAAGATAGCATAGGTTTAATATTCATGTTACTTTATACATTATATACCACAGTCTGGACTCAGATGGCCTGGCTCACACAAGGGGAATGTATTAGTTGGTTTATTAGATTTATGATTTGATTTATGTAATATTCTGTGGAACTGATATGAGACAAACAACAGGATGCATTCAATAGTCACTGATTTCTATGAGATAGTGATGGTACACATGCATGCTTTCGCAACCATAAAAAGTACGGTATAATAGGCCAAGTCTTCATTTACACATGTGTAGTGTATTCCGTGTCTTTATTCGAGTATGACTCATGCCATGATTGGTTTGTTCATGTGAGCCTTCTGGGAGAGAAGCATCACGGGACAGGCAGCACAGTCATCGACAGTGTTTGGCCCTCAGGCCTTGCTCAGACTTTAGACTTTTTGTTCTAAACAAAGTGGTCAGAGTGTATACACCAAGCTTGGAGACAAAGAGGGCCACGCATACGTACATACACAGAGTACACGTTTTACTACACTCACTTCTTTCTTCTTCAAAAAGACGGCACTTTAACACATTTCACTGGCTTTTCATAAATAATTTAGGAAGGCTTAACGGATCGGTAATATGCCATTTATAACTAATATTTATAATACAACATTTGGGTTATCAGGCTATGAAAACTCCAGATGTTTGGTGTATCTCCTCCTCCAGCATAACATAGCCTTAATCTGCTTAAACTCTTTATAAATGATTTGATTTGATTTGATTTATTCTTTCAAGCATGTAAAGACAGTTGATATATCAACACATATAATTTTACACATATCCAACAAATTCTAATCCAATATCAAATTGCTTATACCTAGTACATGCTTGAATGGAGTAGGAAGAAGTTAGACTTATCTAGTCCTACCCCATGACATCATCTTACCATCATTGGTTTGCAAGCAGTATCTCTACATAAATAATTCTCTTCTACACCACACAAGTAATATACTAAAGAATTATTACAGAGTGTTAACATTCTTACATAATTACATTCTTAAATAATTATCTACTACACCACACAAGTAACATACTAAAGAATTATTACAAGGTGTTAACATTCATACACCACACCCACAATGTTCCATCTAATTAATCATTAAACCTGTTCTTGCCCATATGTGTCAATCAAGATATATCTTTATGTTTATGTTTAAACTCGTCAGTTCTATTACTATTTTTTATGTCCACACTTAAATTGTTCCATATTTTTACCCCACTTATAGAAATACAAAATCTTTTTTTGGTTGTACGTATAACATGAATTTTTAAATTTAACTGACCCCTTAAATTGTATCCCCTTTCCCTTTCATTAAATAGTTTTTGAATTCCACCAGGTAATAAATTGTTCCTGGCTTTATACATAAACACAGCAGTCTTATATCCCACTAAATCGAAAAATTTTAACAATTTAGACTGTATGAAAGCTCCATTGGTGTGATCCCTATACCCCATCTTATGCACAATTCCTATCGCTCTTTTTTGAATTTGGTATCCAAACTTTTATGGTACTTAGGAGGAATGTAGCTAATGATACCAAAAACTCACCATACAATATTGCCATGATGAAAAATCCATCATACGTCCATCATGATAACAAAGAAATGTAAAAAGATGAAAACATGCCTTTTACTAAATAATAAATCTGTGTTTTTTCTACAATGCATATAAAAGATAATGCAGTAGCAGTCCTTTGAAGAGATAAAACAAAACAACCTATTATTGCAGCAGCCTGATCTCGTAAGTCACACTTGCAGTGGAACATCAGTGAAAACACTGTACCCCCTTTGGGCCATGCTGACTGGTGTTCGGGTTCTCAGTATTCTACTAGATCAGTTGAAGTGGGTATCCCCCACCCCTGACCACTGGGGGCAGCACATTGCTACATGCTGTACCAAAACAAGGAGAAGAAGACACTAAAATACACTGGAACAAACCAGAAGTCAATATTTGCGAATTGCTCAGCTTGTTAGAGTCCTTTTTATTCATGTCATTTCTTAAAAAGGGAAAACTGAAATGCTGCCAAACAACAGCCCTAAAAGTCAACAATGGAGCATTTGCTATATAGGTTTAAAATTCTGTGACCAGCACGTAGTTATACTAACAAAATAACCATAGGAATCATATATGCATCATAGCGGCATGACATTAGAGACATTTTTCTATCACAATATTGCAAAATTACAAATATTGTTACATCCCTAGTATTCTTCATAAAAGCCTTCCATAGTCAATATTATATCTGCAACAGAAGCCTAGGAAGTTATGGATGTTTGCTGGTATTGCTCAAAACCTGCTTTTCGAACAATTAAAGATGCTTATCAACTATAGAGCTGTGAAAAATTGTATAATAAAATGTTACGACTAGTACACAATGTGTAATGTAATGTTATCCTCTGCCTTAGTTTGCCTGACTAAAGGAGAAACGTGAGGGAAATGACTTTCCCTCGTTAACATGAAAACAAAACAAAAAGGGAACAAAAAATGGGCTGAGCAAATGAGCAGACAAGCTGGCAGCAGTATGTGTACACATGTAGATTGTTCCATTCAAATAGCCACATGTGCAGCACATACACAGGAACTCCAACCAACAATAAAGTAATGGTTGGTCTGGACAAGAAACAGATTCTAGAATTGAAACACCTGCAAATTTCGCTGATATGAGCAGGCATGTATTTGCATTGAAAATGAAAGAGAAAAATTCCACCTGGGAGTCTTGTGGTTTACTTAGGACCACACAGCTCTCACTCTGACGATCTACCCATGAGTTTGTCTCCACAGTGATCTTTGCAGGTTTTCCCCTCCCACATGGAAATAAAAAGTTTAATGTAAGAAACAAAATCCATGGAAGTTTATTGAAAGCTATTTTCCATTATGTGAAATAACACTAAAATTTGATGGTTCCAATTAAAAATTTCTATGAAATATCAAAAGTTATTCATGCACATGAAGCTGATGAGTTAAACCGGTTGAGGCATAAGAGATAGTTAAAGTGCTGAAATGCAGAACTTTGAGCAGCAGTAGTCTTCTTCTTCTGGCTGCTCTCCATCGGGGTTGCCACAGCGAATCATCAGTTGCCACCCAACTGATGATGCACATGCTAAACTTGGCATGTTTCATGCCAGATGTTCTTCCAGATGAAGTCCAAATTAGAGTTCCCAGTCAATCTAACCTGCATGTTTTCATGTTTTTAGACTGTGGGAGGAAACCAGAGAAAACCTACGCAGAAACAAAAAGGAACTGGGTCGACCAGGGTGTGAACCCAGAACCTTTTTGATGTGAGGCAACAGTGCTAACCACTGTGCAACCGTGCCGTCCAAAGCAGCAATAGTCATACAAAATTTTTTAAAAAAGCAGCAAATTGCACAATGTGTAGGTTTACTGCACAAGAGAAACTAGGGCCTTTTTCTACAACGATATGAAGATTTCCTGAACTCTGCACAGTTTATGCACAGAAAAAATAAAACTAACAAACTATATCTGCAGTTTGGCGGTTGTTTAAATGTTTGCTGCCATGGTGACGGATGGCATGATGTGAAAGATCACTCAGCTACAACATCACACTTAAACAGGAAGATGACATATAGCATTTATCATATTTTGATTGCTGAGCTTCCTGCAGTGAAGCTTGGAAAACCTGCAAACAAAACTCGAACCTCGGGCCACACCTAGTATGCAGGTTTTAAACAAATAAAGTAACTACTCTGCTATTTCATTAAACAAATTTCACAAACAAGAAGTCTCATACACTCACAGGTCTCCTGGCAGATCAACACACAGAATAGTAAAAAAACAAACAAATCTAATGTAATGCAAACTAATATAATTTTCCTGCAACACATTTTGACAGATGTTACTTTGGTGGTTTGTGTTGTTGTTTACATTATATTGTACAGTGTCTGCCTCCTGTATTTGATCGCATAGAAGTCACATGCTATATACAGTAAAAACAGACAAAATGTTCAGTACTTTTCGTTCAATCTCTGAGACAAAGGAAGTAGCTACACTCTTTAGCAATCAACTGTACATGTCAGGCTGCATCCTCAATCTGACTCATGTAGTGCAGCTTGTAAATGATGAAATACTGAATTCTGTATTGAAACAAAGATTTTGATTAAATGCAAAGTAACTTACAGTGCTAACACTTACGTACATCCCAGCTGAACACACTACAGTAGATTTATAAAATACCTCAAATATTGAGAAACTTTTCAAATAGTAACTGGTAATTTGTCTTTTGACTTCTAAAAAAAGAAGATATGTTTAAAAAAGAACCCCCCACCCACACACACACACACAAACACTTTTCCACTTATTGTTATGAGAAAACAGAGAAGTACTGTAGCAGCAGCAGGAAGTCAAGCTCTCTGAGGCTAGTGGCAGTTAGGCAACTCAGCCAACACTTGTTTTGTGTGGCAGTTTCAGTTCTTTTCTTTTCTCTCCCCCCTCCTCACATTCACATTCACACACACACCTGAAAGAACCTCAACACATGCTGCCACATGGCACACTGTCTCTGTCAGTAAAGGGGTGAAAAATAAGACAAAAGACCTGGTTTTGCAAACCTGCCCAGAATGATCAAAGGGAGCACAGCTTTACCATCAGTGAGCTGAAAAGGAGGCTGACATGAATCTGAAGCGCCATCATTAGTATGCAGAGGGAACGATCATCGGTGTCTTTATACGGTCCAGAAGCCTGCTAAGACCCCATTGTCACCTAACAGAGCTGAAACCACGGAGACTGCAAAGTCTGGGTGTACAGAACCTGATAGAAAGGGAGCTTTAACAAAGTGACTTGCCAAAAACTCCAGCTGCTCTAGAAGTAATAGACAAGCCTGACCTCCACTCTCACTTCACTTTTGCATTCACCTTCTCTCTCCTTTTTTCTTGTTTTCTTATTACTTTCTGCTTGTGTTTTCTATGCCAGTAATAAAGCACAGATTCCCCCCTACTGCATGCAGGTGCACAAACACACAGGAAGGTTACAGATACACATGAACACAGTTGTCTTATAATTTCTTAAGTTATAAGTATTGTACAGTCATGACACAGCATATACCGTATGATCAGGGCCTTGATATCAAGATGAATAACACACCCTAATGGCTTATATTTATCTGTGCTTCTCTTTCCTGCTGTCAGATTCTAAGCTACAATGAGTGCACGATCACATGCTTGAGCAGAATGTTGTATATTTCCACCAATGACTGTAGCACCCTTTTAGCCAATGTTCATGAGCTGGTTTGGAGACACACCTTGTTCCCATCACTCCCACAATACTCCAGTGTCCTGCGTTATCACACCTGAGTGAAGTTGCTCTGTCAGCAGACATGTCTGGGTCTCCCCTGGTCACAACAATGGCCCACCATGCCAGTGGGACAGGTGAAACATGAGATCTGCTGCAAATGTGTTTGTGCATGTAAACGTACATTTCCCGAAGGTCATGAGGAGGACTCATGTCTGATTTGATCTTTAGTGTGCATTTTCCTTTCTCAACATTTGACATCCAATGTTTTTAAAAACAATCACATGTTCTTTTACATAGACCAGTGAGGCATGCTTTTCTCTTTTGCCTCTTTTCTAAATTAAAAAGATGGTTGAAAGAAGATTTCCATGAATCTAAATAAATTACCTGTGATAACAGACCTGACCTCCAATGTTGTTCTGAAACGTCCAGATTTAAAGATATAGAAGACTTTGAAACACTGTAAAAAATTACATTTCCATTATCCTATATTTTCATAAATATCTGTCCTCTGCTTGTTGTAATTTTCTATGCAAATGTTTAATTAATGTTTCAATGACTTTCTTTTAAAAAAAAACCATTTCACATTTTGAAAAGTAGGCTTATTTACTGTACTTTCTTGGTGAGGAGGAGACACATGTAATTAGCCTAGCTTAACACACAGATTGGAAACAGATGGAATCATTTCCACTGCTCTTAAAATTTCCTAACCAACACATCTGAAGTTATCTATTAACATGTTTGGTTAATCCGAAACAGAAATGTAATAAAAAAGGCACTTTGGACAAAGGCTAGTTAGTTAGTTGACTTTTCATGTTGCTGACCCAAATACAACATAGAAATGAGCGCTTCTTGCTGTCAGGATGTCGCCATTGTGTTTGCTAGTGTGCGTGTATGGAGCATGTCCCTGTCATGGATTTATTAAGGGACAACTGGGTACAGCATTACTAGATAGTGCCTATTAATTCTTAGGAAAGTTGCTTAATGGCACATACTTCAAAAAAATTCTTCATACCTTCAGATTTTAGTCATAAAGATTCCGTAGATGTTCCACACATATGCACTTGTGTCGAGCCAAGTCTATGGCTGGACTGGCTGCTGACTTACCATTGGCGCCACAGTGGGATAAAATATCCTACAGCTTTCAAAATAATATTGGACCCAACAAATCAAATTCTGATAACAAAAAAAAGGTGCTTCACAGGGTTTGTTTTATTTGGAAAAATGTATTCACTACAGCCACTTCTTTTCCTGGGATTTTCTATGGAGAAAATGCTTTTGGGCCTTTGTGCATCACATGATAAATGCAGAAGTTGTAGTAATGCGGTTTAGCCACTGTCAGACTTGCTTCATAGATCAGTGGTGATCCTGAGGTTTTAGTCCGTGCACACAAACCCCCAGTTACAGTATGAATAGAAGCGCTTCTGTTTTTGCAGCCCAGGTCTGTAACTGTCCAAGTGAACGGACGTTTATAGACGAGAACAGTATTTGTCTTGCATCGAATTCTTGGCAAAAAAGAAAAATTATCTTATTTCGCAAAATGTGAAACTAGTCATTGTTATTTACTACATTTGGCCAGTACAGTGATGTGTTTGCTAATATGTAACATGTTTCTTCTTTAAATCAGGACATAGATCCAGTCTAATCCTCATTTATTCCTGACAATACTGTGAGTTTGGAAACCCCTGCCTTGTACAGGAGGATGTGTGTCCAGCACATGGCTTTTGCAGAACAGCTTTCTCAGGGACAGAGACTTTAGTGTATAAATAAAGAGAAATCAGACCAGAGAACTTTAGGTAAGGAGCCTGAAAATCACAAAAAGGATAGAAAAACAAAATTAGGAAGTTTAAGAAGACAATAAAAATAAAAATCTTGGGTTAGAGGACCCATGCGTCATTAAAGAGCAGTTCAATTTGTGCTGAAGGCAGATAAAAAAGAAGAGAAAATAAGGAGAGAAAGGGTGTTATACAAGATATTGGTGCAGGGCCATTTGGTTTCAGGGTGGTTGATTTTTAAAAAGGATACAGTGGTAGGCAAACAAGTGTGTGAGACTCTCAGGTGGCAGGAGATTATACAGGCACAAGCCTTCTTTGTCAGGGCCCTGTTCCAGTTCACAGGGGAGGACCCTCTCGCCTTGAAAAATTACACAGGCACATGCAGGAGGGATTGTTGTGCCAAGGATGCAAATACTGTATAACCACATTTGCAGAGGTCCAGCAGTGAATTTGGTCTGAGTGCATGCTTGCATTTGAGTTTATGTGTGTGTATGAGTGAGAGATAAAAAGGAAGATGATTCAAAATTATGGCAAATCTGTTACTGCTGCAACTTCACAGTCTACACTTGCTATCTATACTAAACTCTGAAGATACCAGAGCAGTAAGCATTTACATCAGATAAAGTTAATGAGGGTTTAGGGGGCGTTGACAGCTCTGCATATCTTCTTTCCAAGGTAAACAGATCAATACTGAATCCTCTACATTGTGTAAGAGACAAGAAATTGACACATTTTCACATTTGGAAGGTCTCACAGACTGGTGATAACTCTTCATAGTCTTATGATCAACTGAATTATTGAAATAAATCAGAATAATTAGTCCTAATTGGATTTTTATGACATTACATTTGGCCATGTGATTACATAGTGTATGAATCTAAACTGATTAAATTTATTGCATTACCTTTTGAAAAAACGTATTTGAATGACTTTAGGACATGTTCATTCACTGCTGTACATGCTGTATTAGAGATACCACAAGGTATTCATATTGCTGTTGTTTCAGCAGTTTTCGCTGAACTATTCATGTTCATGGATCTTATGGGTGGGCATATAAACCCCTCCACAAATTTCATCCTAGTAGACATGAAATTCTAGCCTGACTACCAGACCTGCTCAGGTGGACTTCAGATGAAATACAGCCACAGGTTTAAGATCCAAACACAATGTCTGGACTTGGCCGAGCAGTCACCACCACAGGACACATCTCACTAGACACCAACTACTCTCAGCACTCAAACATAAAGATACAAACACAAATACACATGCAAAAGCTCATTTCCATGTCTATTTGTGTTTGCCCCCTCAAGAAGCCTCGAGGGGGCAAACACAAATACACATGCACTTGAACACATGCTAAAGCGCTGAGGGGCGAAGTGGATACACCCCTTTACCTCATCCTGCATACAGTGCGCATACCAGCTGTCTAGGTAGTCTGATATTTGCCTTTAGATGCGCATCAAATTTCTACAGTAGTTTGATGTTGATTGTTGTCAGAGTCTTTGTGAACAACCTCACCACCTCCACCTCGGGGAACAAGCCAGACTAACCTTAGACCTGTTCGACTGTGAACCAGCTTCACCTCCAGAGACATATCGCTCCAAACAACAAATGCAATCCAAACCTTATACAAAAGCATATGTTAGAAAGAGAGAGACAAAGAGAAAACCGGGAGACAGTGAAGGGGGAACAGCCAGCGTGACTGCTGAACATCCTTTGTGTCAGAGGATAAAGCATTATGGATGGCAGCACAGACTCCAGCTGTAGCAGAAGAGAAAAAAAAATAACTGAAAGAAATCTCTATTTCTGTTTCTAAGTGAAAAGCAAGACTGCTTCTGAAAGCTAATCATCCAAAACCCTGATAAATAAGGTTCACTTCCCAGCATGTGAATGCATGTGAGACAGAGTGAGCAAGAGCGCCTGTCTCCTTTGTGTCTATCAGGAGGCTCAGACTGCCAGACATAAGCCTGTCTGTGCCGGTCTTGCCGGCACCCACTCGTCCATTCTACTAACAGCAGCAGCAACAGCAGCATCAGAGCACAGCGTCTTCCTTTCACTATCTTCTTTTTACATGAATGCTCACTCAAATTCTCAACACAGATAATGAATAGAAAACAAACAACACTGTCTGGCTGTAAAATCTGGAAACAAAGGAAGCTTGGTAGACATTCAGCCAGGAACAATTTAGGCACAATAAAGTGGAAAATCTCAAACACAGAGCCATCTGCTAGGCAAAGGCACAGTCCTCTCACCTATAAGTTGATCTGACCTGGTGGAGGCCAGTAATCCGAAGGTGACCCCCAAGAGAAGCGTCCACATCCTGGTGTCTGGCAATGGCTGGGTGAGTAGCTGAGAGTAAAGGTGTGTAACAGTTCTTCTGTGGTCTTGTCTTCCCTCTGCCAGGAGTGATGGGTAGTGTGTGTGTGTGTGTGTGTGTGTGTAAGAGAGAGAGTGAATCAGTGAGGGAGCACTAAGAAAAAAAGAGAGAGATAACCTGGTGGTGTAGAGTGAGTTGCTGGCTACAGTGTCTGGTAGCTGCTTGGTCTGACTCAGACTTTGGTTTAACTTTTGGGTTCTCTGCCTGAGAGAGAGAGAGAGAGACTAGTGGCACACATGCAGAAGGGAAATAGTAGTTCATGTAAGTCCACACCCTTCTGCTTCTCCCACACTTGCCCCACCTCCCCCTCCTGCCCCACCTCAAACAGCCTCTATCCCTGCCTCTACAGTTTGTAATAGATGAGGAGAAGGTGATCTCTTCTACAGTCTGGTTTCATCATTCCCTCCCTCTGTCTCCTTCTCTACCCCCATTTCCGCTTTCATTTTGCTGACAGGAACTGTTTCTGAGAGCCCATCTGGTCTTTTGTTCAATCTTCACTTCATTTTCAACTCATTTGGTTTTCTTGTCTTTTTCTCCTGCTGTATCTCAGTGCGATCCTGTGCCACCAACTGAAGTGTCACACAGACTCACCTCATCGTCAAGTTTTTATAGATTCAGAAACTCTTGACTGAACAGCATACATAAATTCATCAGAAGAATACTTCAAGTGCAGAAGTAAGCACTGTAGAGAGCTATATATTAAAAGTTCCTCCTTTTTCCTTTATGGGCATCTGTTATACGTAGTTGGCCTTCTAACTAAGTAGCCTCCTGATACAGAAGCAATACTTGATGCTGTCAGCACCGTCTCAACAACCAGAACATTTTCAACTTCCATCATGAGAAAGTTGCCCCCTCCCTACCTCAGGTTTAACATTTCACTTTACCAGATGCCAGATGGAGACATCTCAGGTTTCCAGAATATCCCTACCAACATATCTTGTATTGTTTACATGGGGATTGAGCAATATCTCAAATAAACAATTGTGATACAAAAGCATGAATTCTGGTCTCTAATTGCTAATTTGCCCTATATTGTTTAAATTGTGCTAATTTTCACTAATAATAATAATATTCATTGCAATTAAGCTTCAAGTTGGCTGTGTGAAACATCAAACTATAAAATTGTGTGGCTTTATCTTTTTTTTTTTAATAGGGCTCTATATATTTTTGGAAGAGGCATGTTAACCCAACTGGCCAAACAACATGTGACAGCTTATCTATCATGTAGATCAATGAGCAATATTATAAAAATAAAAATACAATAAAAATTCCAACCTCTGGGGTTTAAAAACGAACACGAACACAATACACTTACAGATACAGCAAGGACACACAGGAAGTGCAAGTTAATAACAAGACTAAGAGAAAACAGTCACATTGGTGGCTAATAATGCTGTGAGCTAAATGCTAATGTCAACATGACAAACTGCTTGAAATGACAGTACTAATATGCTGATCTTAAAAAGGTGTGATGTTTATTGGGTTCAACATCTTTGTTTAGTGTGTTAGCATGCTAATTAGTTGTAAACCAAACTACTGGACATATTGACCTGGTGATGGCACTAGACTTACTAAAATGATTCTAGTTTATTCTAAATGGACTGAGAATGTCTGCATCACATCTCATGATAAATGGAGTAGTAGATAAATACCTGTAGTAGTTGAGACAATTAAAAAAAAGTCAACCTCGTGGTGACACAGGAGGGAAAGTCAAGCTCACCAAAGCCAGTACGACACATTTTTGGGCAACATGAAATCTTTGTACCAAATTTCACAGTTCATTTTATGATTGTTGAGATGTTTCTGGCATGGAGGTAAATGCAAGGATTGGGATTTAATTTAGAATATGTTTGCCTAATAAATGCAATTCATGATTTTACACACAAATTCAAGCATATTCTTTTCCACTGACTGAACTGACACCCACGTATGATTTGAATGGGCCCACATAAAAACAGAGCAGCAAAATAATATAACACTTCCTACTCTACAGACAGAAGTTACTTCCTTTTTGAGACGTTGCCATGGTGATATTTGTTTATAGTTTATCTGTAGCAACAACAGTGAAGAAACAAACACATTTACACCACACTGGAAAAACATGTTTATTTCAGTGTTTTTTTTCTTTTAAACCACATTAAACTTTTGCATTGGGTATAAAATGTGAATTCTAATAAATTTTGCCTTACCTTGCCAGGTGTTATATTAATCTGCTTTCTGTTCCTCTGAAGACTATGAGATTAAGATTATGAACTTAAAAATGTTTTATAGCCCAGTCTAGCAAAGTGAAACTGTATATTGCATAAAACACTGAAGAGAGAATCGCACTAAGACAAATAATTCTCCAGTCTGAGTTAGTTTCCAGCTTGAAACAATGTCTGGAGAAACACTGACACAAACTGCAACGTTTAACATTTGCCAGTGACTGAAGTGAACTGAATATTTGGTGTGATAAATCTCTTTTCAAACTGCACTGTTCCAGAATAGAATGAATCAACGTGGTCAACACTCCAGCGCAGTGGAATGTACAATCACTGTCAGTCTAAACAAGTACAATAAAATTGTTTACCCTAGTTGAACTCATGTTTAACAGCTTGAGTGAACAGGAGATTGACCTGACTGTTGAGTCAGCCAGTACACATCCAGCAATGGAAAAAAAAAGTTTCCATGATGGTTACTTGGTTATGACACACATACGTTCTCATCATACATCCTTGTGGTTCGGAATCCTTGTGGTAATGGCACCTCCTCAGCATTCCTTTTAGGAAATGTCTTTTCCCCTCTAACCAGCACAGTCAGTGGAATGTGAGTAGAAGAAATTACAAGATGTCCATATACGTACAGTGCAGCAAAAAGAAATCCACCAGTCACTGTTTAAACATTCAGTGAATGGGTGTTTGCACAGTTGTGTAATAAAAAAAAACTAAATGGTGGATATTTACTGGCACATAGCAACTGGTGACAAAAACAGCATTACATTTTCACACATTCTGATCTGATCCACTAAAAAAAGAACATGGCCTCATGGGCTTAATCAGACCAATGCCCTGCTCCACGCACCCACCCGCACCCACACTCCCTCATCTCTTAGGAGATGAGGGAGTGTGTCAGTTGTGTATGTTTGGCCAACAGCTGCTTCAAACTGCGGGGTCTTGGGCTGAATGAGCTGCTCCAGCATCATAGAAGCATGACTGGACAGCTTCAAAGGCCAGGCTTTGCGCAACATCAACAATGTACAAGCCTGGCTTGTGTCTGTGTACTGGGACAGCAGAACCAGCGTGTTTGGACAGTGAGTGTTACAGAGTACTGTACAACTGAAATGTTGGCTGAAACGGAAACAGGATGGCTTATGTTGACCGGTAAATGACATAAGCATCTGAATGCAGTAAATGTGAAACAGACAGAATAAGGAAGTGGAAGAATGATGTGGTGATTTCATGGTACGATTTGTAAGTCTGCAGCCCCTCTAAAAGAGGACTGAATAGAGAAGTGGTGGTAGTAGGGGAAAATGGGGAGTCCAGAGGAAATCCTGTCAACAATGGCTGAACAAACTTGAGCATGAGATCATGCGGATGAGAACAAGTCTCTCTCCAACCCTGGTGATCATTCACAGAGCCTTTTCACACAGGGAAATATGTGTCAGTGGGTGTGAGAGAGAGAAAGACAGAGAGGGAGAGAGAGACCAAAGGAAGAGACTGGGGCAACTCCTGACCAAAATAGTTTATTATTGGATGATAAAACCATCAGGCTCCTTTTGTGGGTGGGCAAATTATTCACATTCATTTTATTCTCCAGAACCTTCCTTGAAAGGACAGGAATCTATTAAAAATCAATTTGATCACTTGAAATTCTTAGAATTATTTATAAAAAATGGTTGAACGCTTTGATGAAGTCTAGAAGCTTTGAGAGGGTCTGGATGGAGGTTTAAGAAAAGGCTGGGGTGCAGACTGCTGGACTGCACCACTTCCTCCCACCCTGTTATGTTTTGTCATTCAAGTTTTCCTTCCAGTCCCTCATTGGATATGTAACCAAAACCTCTCACACGTAGATTTCACTCATTCAAACCACTTCTGTTATTTGACCCAGCAACGTGTCTGAAGGACATCCAAATATCAACACAACCAAAGTGCACACTCTGGTCTCCATAGCAACTGCCTGCATCACTCCACACCATGCTGTGTGTCCATGAGTCTGACCTACAAGCCTGCCCAAGCCCCTG